TCCCTAGCCCCAAATTCCGAAATAGTGTTTTCCGACTTTCTAGCTGACTTTAAACGGTTTATGATGGTAAATATGAGTTATATTTTAATGAAATTGAATAAACATGTTTTTTAACATAACGTGAAGATACTAAATGTGATACATAGGTATAATGATATTCGTTATTCAGTTAATGTGTGAGTTATCTTCATAAAATTGCATGGAAACTGCACCTTGAGTATATTTGAGTAATGTCAAAGTTGATGCAACAGTCCAGACTTCCCTAGCCCAAATTCCCGAAATAGTGTTTTCCGACTTTCTAGCTGACTTTAAACGGTTTATGATGGTAAATATGAGTTATATTTTAATGAAATTGAATAAACATTTTTTAACATAACGTGAAGATACTAAATGTGATTATACCCTGAACAGGGTATATTAAGTTTGCCACGAAGTTTATAAACACCAGAAGGAACGTCGGAGACCTATAAAATATATACATAAATGATCAGCATGATGAGCTGAGTTGATTTAGCTATGTCCGTCTGTCTGTCTGTCCGTCTGTCTGTCTGTCCGTCTGTCTGTATATATACAAACTAGTCCCTCAGTTTTATGCTATCGATCTGAAATTTGCACCTGTCCTTTTCTAACAAAGAAGCTGCTATAGCATATAGCTGCCATACAAACTGAACAATCGGAACAAGTGTTTGTATGGAAAACTCTTTCATTTGACGAGGTATCTTCATGAAATTTGGCGTGTATTATTATTTATGGCAATTATCCAATCCTCGAAGAATTATATAGATCGGATGACTATAGCATATAGCTGCCATATTAACTGAACGATCGGAGTAAAGTGCTTGAATGGAAAATTTTTATTTGACGAGGTATCTTCACGAAATTAGACACGAGTTATTGCTTAAGACAACAAATTATTCTCCACAGAATTGGTCAGATCAGATCACTATATCATATAGCTGCCATACAAATTGAACGTTCGGAATCAAGTTCTTTGTAAGAGGCCTTTGTATTTGTGAAGGTATTATAGCTTCGGCGCAACCGAAGTTAACGTTTTTCTTGTTTAATCTATTTACAGTTTTGGTGAATATTAATTTGCAAAATTTTTATTGTAAAATTTTGCCAACACTTGAAAGTATTTCCCTGTTAAATATGTTTTTTATTATTTTTCATCAATACATTTATAGATATATACATAACTATGTACCATATAAACTATGTACATATACTATATTTGAAGATTCACTTCCTGCGGCCTCTTTAAAATAAATTTTAAATTCAAAAGTTTTAATGAGTATTACTTTAACGGAAGAAGTTTGATTTCTTAAAATATGTTGCTCAAATACGCCTTTAACACATTTTGCTCAACTCACACTGACGAGAAATGACTCAATTCTTACTCAACTCTCAAACTTTTCCCAAGCTGCTTACTGCATAACATAAAATCGATGTCTTTAAAATTTCGAAGTAGTCGCAGTTTCAATACAACAGCAATAAGGCTGCGCGTTGTCTACGTTCGAGTCAAAGTGATCACATCGTCTAATCTGATCAAATTGTTTGCTTGTCTAAGGCTTATCCAGTAATCCACCATCATCGTTGGTCCGAACATCACGACACAATATTATATATGAATGTACGTAAATATTTTATACATTTATTTTCTGAATGTGCATTGTTACAATTTCTTTTTTTGTAAAAACATGCATAATATACATACACAATTCATATTTATTCGAATAATTCGGTTGAAACCATCGATCGTTATCGCAACAAAAAAGAGATGTATACATATGTATAATATGAAAACGAAAAGTGAATATTAACATAAATCAGATTATCGAAAAATTAAGATAACAAAAATTTTATATAATGAATTAAAGATTTTAAAAGCATCACGGTGAAAGAACTTTTTAGAATTAGTTGTACAGTGGAAACTTCAACATGATTTTTGTGCATACTACCCTCATCAGCTTCCAGCTGCTTATAAGTAGTTGACGAAAACCTGCGAAAAATTATTAATTTGAAATAAATTCCATACGAATGTGCATAACTATACAATTATTTAGCTGAGATCAGCTTTAATGTAATATACTTTTGAATATTTTGTTTTTATGTAAGCCCTATTTGTATATATGTTTATATTAGCTGCATATGTAGATGTAAGTAATCCATTCATTTGTTTATTGGTTCATTCGCACACTCAATTGGAGTAATGTGAATGTATATAAAGCATACCCGCTGCCCGACTTTATAAAATTATGGTCACCTGATTGAGGTGCCAACAACTTGGCTAATCGTCGAAATACTCACGCGCATTTAGCCTTTACATTTTAATTTTGAGTTTACATTACTTGCAGCTCAATTGACGACGACATAGACGGTAATTGTATTGTACGCGCTCGAGGTTTGCCTTGGCAGAGCAGTGATCAGGATATAGCTAAATTTTTCGTGGTTGAACGTTGCCAAGTAAGTAAAATAAATGAAACGTGTGATTAACCCGTTGCTTTTCCCTAATATTTTGAAAATAATAGTCAAAATATTTTTAATGTTCATTTTTATATTTACATACAAATATGCACTGATTATGTTTAGAAGGTCTCTTATGCCATTTGACCTTTTTATAAGCAAAGAGTGAGATAACTAAAACAAGCAAGAAAATCGGTGTTCAAACACAGCCGACCTCTTAGTGTATTCATAAATCAAGCTTGAATATAATTTAAATTAAAACCTTTTAGTCCCACATATCCGATACGCTTTGAATTTATAATTGGAAACCAATGTGTCTATTTTAGTAGAGTATGACTGGAAAATGAATCTTTAAAAACTGGTTCAATCGTTATTTACTACTGTCTTTTGCGGACTTAGAAAACTATATGTATGCAAGCCTACTGTATATACTTATTATATTACATTTAAATAAAACTAACGTTTAGTCTTACTGATAAGAGGTCAAAGGTTTGATTAAACGCATATGCATTCATAGATTGTAATAGGCTTTACCTATGTTCCTTATTTGCAGGTGGTGTTGCTCTTTGCCTATCGCCTCTTGGGCGGCGTAACGGTGAAGCTCTTATTCGATTTGTATCACAAGAGCATCGCGACATGGCACTAAAACGTCACAAACATCATATTGGAAGTCGGTACATTGAGGTTTATCGCGCCACTGGCGAAGATTTCTTAGCCATTGCAGGCGGAGCTTCTAACGAAGCGCAGGCTTTCCTCTCCAAAGGTGCACAAGTCATAATACGAATGCGGCCTACCATATGATTGCACCGCCAAACAAGTAGTAAGTGAAATGAAAATAAAAGTAATAAATATCCACAATAATTTAATATGAATATTAGTTAATATTGAAAGATCGATGAACTTCGTTCATGAATAAAATAGCGCTGCATTCTCACGTGAATACATGTGTACACATTAGTACACCTAAACAGGCCACTTTACACAACAGGGCTCTAAGATTTTCGGAACGGTCCCCACTCTGCCCACTCAATCCGTATGAAAGCTACAGTCTGTATGAAATATACAGTCTACATAGTCGGTTTTAAGCCCAGTCTCCCTACATTTAATTGTTTACTTTAATTCAATTACTCTCAAAAAGTATTGTACAAGGTGCATTCCAAAGTAAACATTAAAAAGTAACAAAGTAATATCTAGTGGCGCCATCTATATGTCGACTAGTGCGTTAGAATCTGCTTTCCTTTATCGACTTCCAGTAAAATTTCATGACATTTCATCTATTGGAAGTGTCAGTATGTTTTGCTTCGAACAAAGAGCCAACATTAAATTTTGTTTTAAAATTGGTAAACTTTTACCGAAACGTTTCAATTGATGAAACAAGTTTATGGCGATGATTGCCTATCCCGTAGCAGAGTGCGCGAGTGGTTATACGTTTTCAAAGTGGTCGTGAGGACATACTGAGAAATGAGCCGAATCCCCAAAATCGTGCCTTGAGAAGTCAAAAGTGAAGACAATGCTGATTTGTTTTTATGATTCCAAGGGTATTGTCCACACAAAGACGCTAGAATTGTTCCACCGGCATCAGGTGAATACGGGGAGTGGTTGATTGTTAAAATGTGATTTTTGGTCAAATAATCGGCCAAAAGCGTCGATCGATGAGACGGCGCATTATCGTGTAACAAACGCCAACTTCCATCTTCGCGATATTCGGGCCGAACACGTCGAATACGGCGCACCAAACGCTTCAAAACTCAAAGGTAGAATACCGCATTAACGTTTTGGCCGGGTGGAACAAATTCTTTGTGGACAATACCCTTGGAATCATAAAAACAAATCAGCATTGTCTTCACTTTTGACTTCTCAAGGCACGATTTTTGGGGATTCGGCTCATTTCTCATGTATGTCCTCACGACCACTTTGAAAACGTATAAACCACTCGCGCACTCTGCTACGGGATAGGCAATCATCGCCATAAACTTGTTTCATCAATTGAAACGTTTCGGTAAAAGTTTTACCAATTTTAAAACAAAATTTAATGTTGGCTCTTTGTTCGAAGCAAAAACATACTGACACTTCCAATAGATGAAATGTCATGAAATTTTTACTGGAAGTCGATAAAGGAAAGCAGATTCTAACGCACTAGTCGACATATAGATGGCGCCACTAGATATTACTTTGTTACTTTTTTAATGTTTACTTTGGAATGCACCTTGTACAATACTTTTTTGAGAGTAATTGAATTAAAGTAAACAATTAAATGTAGGGAGACTGGGCTTAAAACCGACTATGTAGACTGTATATTTCATACAGACTGTAGCTTTCATACGGATTGAGTGGGCAGAGTGGGGACCGTTCCGAAAATCTTAGAGCCCTGTTGTGTAAAGTGGCCTGTTTAGGTGTACTAATGTGTACACATGTATTCACGTGAGAAATGCAGCGCTATTTTATTCATGAACGAAGTTCATCGATCTTTCAATATTAACTAATATTCATATTAAATTATTGTGGATATTTATTTACCTTATTTTCATTTCACTTACTACTTGTTTGGCGGTGCAATCATATGGTAGGCCCCGCATTCGTATTATGACTTGTGCACCTTTGGAGAGGAAAGCCTGCGCTTCGTTAGAAGCTCCGCCTGCAATGGCTAAGAAATCTTCGCCAGTGGCGCGATAAACCTCAATGTACCGACTTCCAATATGATGTTTGTGACGTTTTAGTGCCATGTCGCGATGCTCTTGTGATACAAATCGAATAAGAGCTTCACCGTTACGCCGCCCAAGAGGCGATAGGCAAAGAGCAACACCACCCCTGCAAATAAGGAACATAGGTAAAGCCTATTACAATCTATGAATGCATATGCGTTTAATCAAACCTTTTGACCTCTTATCAGTAAGACTAAACGTTAGTTTTATTTAAATGTAATATAATAAGTATATACAGTAGGCTTGCATACATAATAGTTTTCTAAGTCCGCAAAAAGACAGTAGTAAATAACGATTGAACCAGTTTTTAAAGATTCATTTTCCAGTCATACTCTACTAAAATAGACACATTGGTTTCCAATTATAAATTCAAAGCGTATCGGATATGTGGGACTAAAAAAGGTTTTTAATTTAAATTATATTCAAGCTTGATTTATGAATACACTAAGAGGTCGGCTGTGTTTGAACACCGATTTTCTTGCTTGTTTTTAGTTATCTCACTCTTTTGCTTATAAAAAAGGTCAAATGGCATAAGAGACCTTCTAAACATAATCAGTGCATATTTGTATGTAAATATAAAAAATGAACATTAAAAAATATTTTGACTATTATTTTCAAAATATTAGGGGAAAAGCAACGGGTTAATCACACGTTTCATTTATTTTACTTACTTGGCAACGTTCAGACCACGAAAAAATTTAGCTATATCCTGATCACTGCTCTGCCAAGGCAAACCTCGAGCGCGTACAATACAATTACCGTCTATGTCGTCGTCAATTGAGCTGCAAGTAATGTAAACTCAAAATTAAAAATGTAAAGGCTAAATGCGCGTGAGTATTTCGACGATTAGCCAAGTTGTTGGCACCTCAATCAGGTGACCATAATTTTTATAAAGTCGTGGCAGCGGGTATGCTTTATATACATTCACATTACTCCAATTGAGTGTGCGAATGAAACCATAAACAAATGAATGGATTACTTACATCTACATATGCAGCTATATATAAACATATATACAAATAGGGCTTACATAAAAAACAAAATATTCAAAAGTATATTACATTAAAGCTGATCTCAGCTAAATAATTGTATAGTTATGCACATTCGTATGGAATTTATTTCAAATTAATAACTTTTTCGCAGGTTTTCGTCAACTACTTATAAGCAGCTGGAAGCTGATGAGGGTAGTATGCACAAAAAATCATGTTGAAGTTTCCACTGTACAACTAATTCTAAAAAGTTCTTTCACCGTGATGCTTTTAAAATCTTTAATTCATTATATAAAATTTTGGTGTTATCTTAATTTTTTTTCGATAATCTGATTTATGTTAATATTCACTTTTTCGTTTTCATATTATACATATGTATACATTCTCTTTTTTGTTGCGATAACGATCGATGGGTTTCAACCGAATTATTCGAATAAATATTGGAATTGTGTATGTATATATATGCATGTTTTTACAAAAAAGAAAATTGTAACAATGCACATTCAGAAAATAAATGTATAAAATATTTACGTACATTCATATATAATATTGTGTCGTGATGTTCGGACCACACGATGATGGTGGATTACTGGATAAGCCTTAGACAAGCAAACAATTTGATCAGATTAGACGATGTGATCACTTTGACTCGAACGTAGACAACGCGCAGCCTTATTGCTGTTGTATTGAAACTGCGACTACTTCGAAATTTTTAAAGACATCGATTTTATGTTATGCAGTAAGCAGCTTGGGAGAAAAGTTTGAGAGTTGAGTAAGAATTGAGTCATTTCTCGTCAGTGTGAGTTGAGCAAAATGTGTTAAAGGCGTATTTGAGCAACATATTTTAAGAAATCAAACTTCTTCCGTTAAAGTAATACTCATTAAAAACTTTTGAATTTAAAATTTATTTTAAAGAGGCCGCAGGAAGTGAATCTTCAAATATAGTATATGTACATAGTTTATATGGTACATAGTTATGTATATATATCTATAAATGTATTGATGAAAAAAAATAATAAAAAACATATTTAACAGGGAAATACTTTCAAGTGTTGGCAAAATTTTACAATAAAAAATTTTGCAAATTAATATTCACCAAAACTGTAAATAGATTAAACAAGAAAAAACGTTAACTTCGGTTGCGCCGAAGCTATAATACCCTTCACAAATACAAAGGCCTCTTACAAGAACTTGATTCCGAACGTTCAATTTGTATGGCAGCTATATGATATAGTGATCTGATCTGACCAATTTCTGTGGAGAATAATTTGTTGTCTTAAGCAATAACTCGTGTCTAATTTCGTGAAGATACCTCGTCAAATAAAAAAATTTTCCATTCAAGCACTTTACTCCGATCGTTCAGTTAATATGGCAGCTATATGCTATAGTCATCCGATCTATATAATTTCTTCGAGGATTGGATAATTGCCATAAATAATAATACACGCCAAATTTCATGAAGATACCTCGTCAAATGAAAGAGTTTTCCATACAAACACTTGGTTCCGATTGTTCAGTTTGTATGGCAGCTATATGCTATAGCAGCTTCTTTGTTAGAAAAGGACAGGTGCAAAATTTCAGATCGATAGCATAAAAACTGAGGGACTAGTTTGTATATATACAGACAGACGGACAGACAGACAGACGGACAGACAGACAGACGGACATAGCTAAATCAACTCAGCTCATCATGCTGATCATTTATGTATATATTTTATAGGGTCTCCGACGTTTCCTTCTGGGTGTTATAAACTTCGTGGCAAACTTAATATACCCTGTTCAGGGTATAATCACATTTAGTATCTTCACGTTATGTTAAAAAACATGTTTATTCAATTTCATTAAAATATAACTCATATTTACCATCATAAACCGTTTAAAGTCAGCTAGAAAGTCGGAAAACACTATTTCGGGAATTTGGGGCTAGGGGAAAGTCTGGACTGATTGCATCAACTTTGACATTACTCAAATATACTCAAGGTGCAGTTTCCATGCAATTTTATGAAGATAACTCACACATTAACTGAATAACGAATATCATTATACCTAT